GAAATTAAAAACCCAAGCTAAGACCACACACCCATGCCTCATGTGCCATCCCTCCTATGTTGGAGGAGGATGCATATCCTTCAGATAAGCGTTCCTTTTCCATTTCCCTGAACTTTCTCCTTGTCTTTTAGTTCTTTGACAAAGAACAAGAGCCCAGAAGCCTTGTTGTTTTTGTGTCTAAGCAAAGATGCGAAAACCCAGGAAACGGTGGTTCTTGGTCTTGCAATCAATGATTTCTTTCACACTGAATTTTTTCAGTTGACATTTAAGGGCAAGGATTCCTTCTTATTTACAGTAACATTTTCCTTCTCTATAGCAGGGTAAAAGTCACTTTTTTCCTTTGAAGTACAAATACTGTAAAGTTAGATACTCCTTAACGTGGGAAGTCATTTTGTTGAGAAAAAAAAAACACCCAATAACAATAATTCGAAAGCATATCATTTGTTTGCTTACTTGTTGAAGACCTAGTACTGACCCTGAAGTCCAGATTTACCTTGAACTCAGGATCTGCCTGCCTCAGCTTAGTGCTGAATATATGGGAATATGCCATCACATAAAGCTCAATTTCATATCTTTTTCAAGAAATATTGCTTCATCCTTGTTATTAAGGAAATATAAAACTCCTATATAAAATCAAGTTCTTTTTTTCATAAACCAAAATAATTATAATTATGAACAATATTGGACCAAATCAAATTGTTTGGTTATTCAGTATCATTTATATTATAGATGGTTATGACCCTGCACAAATAAAGTAGCAGTTGTTTCTATCGTACCCCATCATAAAAAATGTAAGAAAAACCACATGATCAGTTCACTAGATGCTGAAAAAGCCTTTGACAAAATCCAGCACCCCTTCATGATAAAGGTCCTAGAGAGATCAGGGATAACAGGAACGTATCTGAATATAATAAAAGCAATATACAGTAAACCAACAGCTAACATCAAACTAAATGGAGAGAAACTCAAAGCAATTCCTCTAAAATCAGGAGCAAGACAAGGCTGTCCACTCTCTCCATATCTCTTCAATATTGTACTTGAAGTTCTAGCTACAGCAATAAGACAACAAAAGGAGATAAAGGGGATACAAATAGGAAAAGAAGAAGTCAAACTTTCACTATTTGCAGATGATATGATAGTTTACATAAGTGACCCAAAAAACTCCGCAAGGTTACTCCTAGAGCTGATAAACACCTTCAGCAATGTGGCAGGATACAAGGTAAACTCAAAAAAATCAGTGGCCGAATTATATACAGATGATGAAGTGACTGAGAAAGAAATCAGAGAAACATCACCTTTTACAATAGCCAAAAACAGCATCAAATATCTGGGGATAATGTTAACCAAAAAGTGAAAGACCTGTATATCAAGAACTTTGTGTCTTTGAAGAAAGAAATCAAAGAAGATACCAGAAAATGGAAAGATCTCCCATTCTCTTGGATTGGTAGGATCAACATAATAAAAATGGCAATCTTGCCAAAAGCAGTCTATAGATTCAATGCAATCCCTATCAAAATTCCATCACAATTCTTCAAGGACCTGGAAAGAACATTAATCAACTTTATATGGAAAAACAAAAGGCCCAGGATAGCCAAAACATCCCTATACAATAAAGGAACTTCAGGAGGCATCACCATACCTGACTTCAAGCTCTATTATAGAGCTATAGTCCTGAAAACAGCTTGGTATTGGCACAAAAATAGGCAGGTAGACCAATGGAACCGAATCGAAAGCCCTAATTTTAACCCACACACCTATGAACACCTGATTTTTGACAAAGAAGCTAAAACTGTACAGTGGAAAAAAGAAAGCATCTTCAACAAATGGTGCTGGCATAACTGGGTACTAGTATGCAGAAGACTGCAGATAGATCCATGTTTATCGCCTTGTACAAAACTTAAGTCCAAATGGATCAAAGATCTCAACATAAATCCAGCCACACTGAAACTTTTAGAAGAGAAAGTGGGAGATATGCTTCAACGAGTTGGTACAGGAGACCACTTCCCAAACATAACACCAGTGGCACAGGCACTGAGATCGACAATTAACAAATGGGACCTTCTGAAACTAAAAAGCTTCTGTAAGGCAAAGGACACAGTCAAAAAGACAAAAAGGCAGGCCACAGAATGGGAAAAGATATTCACTAACCCTATATCTGACAGAGGGCTAATCTCCAAAATTTACAAAGAACTCAAGAAACAAGTCTCCAAAACACCAAAGGATCCACTTGAAAGGTGGGGTACAGAGCTAAATAGAGAATTCTCAGTAGAGGAGGCTAAAATGGCCAAGAGACACTTAAGATAGTGCTCAACATCCTTAGCCATCAGGGAAATGCAAATCAAAACAACTCTGAGATACCATCTTACTCCTGTCAGAATGGCTAGAATCAAAAACACAGAAGACAATTTATGCTGGAGAGGATGTGGAGAGAGAGGAACACTCCTCCACTGCTGGTGGGAATGCCGACTCATACAGCCTCTTTGGAAATCAGTATGGAGATTCCTCAGGAAAATTGGAATTAATCTACCACTAGACACAGCAATTCCACTCTTAGGCATTTATCCAAATGAGGCAGGTTCATACAGCAAGGGCATCTGCTCCACTATGTTCATAGCAGCATTGTTTGTAATAGCCAGAACCTGGAAGCAACCTAGATGCCCCTCAACTGAAGAGTGGATAGAGAAAATGTGGTACATTTACACAATGGAGTATTACTCAGCAGAAAAAAACAATGGAATCTTGAAATTCACGGGGAAATGGATAGCACTGGAAGAAACCATCCTGAGCGAGGTAACCCAGTCGCAAAAAGACAAACATGGTATGTACTCACTCATATATGGATTTTAGATATGGATCAGGATAGTGCCAGTCTGCACTTCCACAGATAGAGAGTCTGGGAAACAGGAAACAACCTAAAAGATATGCATGTATGCATAGTACCCAAGAGAAGAGGATGGAGACAAGATCCTCTGAATGGATGGGGAACACGGCGAGGGGTGGGGGGGAGTGGGACCTGGGAAGAATATAGGGGGTAAAGAGGAAGGGAGTTGGTCATGGGGGAACAGGAAGTTGAGGGGGTGGGGGTAGAATAGGGGGGAGGGAATCATAGGATCGAAGACAGATCAGGCACCAGAGTGACCTCGAGTGATCTAAAGGTATAACATCAATTGGCAAGCTAAGCAATAGTGGAGGGACCACCTCGAATGCCCATTCCTGATAATGAACTTGATGTCTATAACCATACGGGAGCCTTCATCCTGTGACTGATGGAAGCAGAGGCAAACACACAACTAATCACTGAACTGAACCCAAGGAACCCAGTGACAGAGAGAGAGGAGTGATGAGCAAATTGGCAAAGAATGGGCTGGCAAAACCAGCAGAGACAGCTGATCTGAACAGGGGAGTGCTCTTGGACCCCAGACCGACAGTGGGGAGGCCAGCATGGGACTGATCTGGACCCCCCAAATGTGAGTGTCAGTGAGAAGGCCTGGGCAACCTATGGGGCCCTGAGCTGTGGATCAGTGTCTATCCCTGGTATACAAACTGTCTTCATGTGCCTATAGCACAAAGAGAGATGCTCTCTCAGCCTGGACTCTTAGGGGAGTGCCTTGACCCTACCAAGAGTAAAATGACCTACTCTAGATATCCCCTATGTGGAAGGATTTGGCAATAGGGTGGGAGGGAGGGGGGGAAGGGGAGTGCGGGAAGAGGGGAGGGAGAGGGAACTGGGATTGACATGTAAAACAAGCTATTTAAAATTAAAATAAAAAATGATAAAAAAAATGTAAATAGCACCTTTCAACCTGTCTGACTATCATAGAATAAAGTTGTTTACAATTTGAAAAAAAAATGTATGGTACTCCAAAATAAATAGTGTGAAACTAGGGGCTGAGTTTAGACAAAATACTTTCTGTTTGGTGTTTCCTATATGAGGACATTACTAGATAAACAAAATCATTCAAGGATTGTCCACTAATAGTAGTGAACACAGGAAAATATATTCTAGAAATTACTTGAGTGTAGATGTACATTTGTTTTATAGATGGTCTTTGCTTAATAATTAACATACAAATAGTCCCAAATAGGATTGGAAGTTAACGTTTCATTAACCTCACTTATAATACCTAAAGGAGATATCCACATTTAAATTCAGGTGGAAAACTTGTCTGTTTTCCTAATATGATATTCTTTAAAGAACTGCAACGACATAGAAGACCAATAAGCTTCGTGTTTTAAGAAATGCAAACATACATCCTTAGCACAAATGAAAGCAGAACCTACTGATACTATATTGACCCTCTCATTTTAATGTGCTTTATTTAATATTTTATTCATGTTAATGTACTTCACAAGAGTCAGGGCCCTGTACATGCCAGGATTTGATTTACCAAAAACTACATCCCTAACACATTGAAGATATTTTGTCAAAGACTTTGGCAAGTGATTTTTTAAGAATTTTCATCTACTGTTGAAACATATTTCATTTTAGAAGGCATATCATGTGTGTAAGTGTTCTGCTGTCAGGCAATTCATTTAATGTTCTCCTTATGGATTCACTAGCTTCTTTTCTAGCAAATTCTTTATAAAGTACCGATTTCAAATAAAACCCAATTCTGAACCTAAGAAAGGATTTTGAAAGGAAACAAGACCTAGGACTTAACTTTGAATGGCCTTCTGTCTTGCAAGGAAGATTGAGAACATGAACAGGACGAAATTCTAAAGTTACGTGAGTTTAAAAAATTTCTCTATGTGGATCATTGTATAAAGCAACTACTTCTAACTTATAAAACTGAACTGAAAATAGCAACCAGGACGTTCAAGAGATGTCGACCCTCCACAAGACAGAGTGGGGCTGGCTCAGAACAAGGTTATCCAAACCTGGTGACTCAAGTATGGGCTTAGTCATTTCTTCCACTCTTACTTTAGTTAGGAAAGCCACTGGATGTCTCATAGCTGCATTCTTCTGAATCTTGGAAAAAGAAAATAATGAAGGCTCCTACCTTATAGCACTTCTCAGGAAAGTTTGATGGACAGCATTTGAAATGTAGCAAGTATTGGGCCAAATCAATTTCATTTCTTATTCCCAGCTCATGCCCTTCAAACAGATTGAATTCCAGGCTTTGTGATTCAATAGAATCCCACCTGAATATGGAATAAAATAAAAATAATTGTAACACAATGTGATTTGTATTATATTCAAATTGTCAGATAAAATAATGAAAACATTATTAAAGTTTAGAACATTGAAAATTATCATGAAGAAAGAATAGAAGAAAACGCTTTTAGAAAAGCAAGCAATATACTGAATCTCCTTGTTGTAACCATTATTAGTAAAATCCAACAATGTATCTAACACATATTTAAATTACAACTCTGGGTAAGAATCATTTGTCTAACTTAGGTGTTATCCATGTTGGATATTTGCAATCTCAACATATGATTAAAAATGCTGTGATTGTAAGTCAGTTTGTCAAAGGTCTTCCTAACATGCACACAGCACTTGGTTCCAACGCTAGAACTTCACAGACTGAGTGCTATGGTACTGAAATCATGGCTGAAATCATAACTGAAATTACAGCACTTTGGAGTGGAAGCAGGGGAATCAAAAGTTTGAAAGCATCATCATTAACTACAGAAGAGATTCAGAGCAGCCTAAGCTAAAGAAGATCCATGCTCAAGAAAATAACAGCAAGGCAAAATATACATCAACAATAGTATATTAGAGTTATTTGATAAGATTTAGCAGGCATGAAATACTGATAATTTTATTCCATGAAATAAGCATGATAGATGGATTACTAAGAAAACCCCTATATCTTATTCACTTATGTAAGCATGACAGACAGAGCATGAAATGCAACAACAAACAAACAAAAAAACCCCAACAAATTGGCAATGTAAAGAAATTGGGAATGTAAAGCACATTTTAGAAAATGTTGAAAACACAGATTTGAGGATTTAAGAGAAGATGTTTGGGGAAGTTAGAGGGGAAAACTGTACCGAAAAGGTTTCCTGGTATCAGATACATCTCATTGACAATAGTCACCCGAAAAACCAGTAGTATTCATGTCTGTATAAACTAGGTGCTTTTCTCCAAATATCTTTGTCCAAAGGAAAAGCATTACCCAAGCAACTAATGACAACTTGGGGGAGTGAACCTGTGCCTTTCTTTGCTATTTCTTTATGCAGTTAAATGTTCATTTGTTTGTTTGTTTGCAAACACAAAAGGTAGCTTATACTTCATTCCTATCTGGAGAGGCTTGTGTATTACCAACTCAAAGTGTGCAAAGAAAACATATTCACAGTATGACATTTGGTTCTCCACGAAGGTGAGCTGGACAAAATGTGTCTTGATTTCACACAACTCAATGATCTGGTGATCCTGCAAATGAATGCACAAAGATCTGAAGTGCTGTTAGATGCAAGCACCTGCCTGCACAGGTCAGTTGGTTCAACCCCAGGATCCACGATTTTCCGGTGACTCAGAACTCAGAAAAGCTGCTCTCGCAAGGATGTTTTTTGCAATAAAAGGAAACAAATTTAAAACACAGATACCAAATGCATGTAAACACTATGATCTAATTATGTAGTCCCTGTCGAATCTTACTCCTTATGGTGCAAGATTATGACAAAATTGATTCACAGGCAAGGGACATTGTTGGGAACTGTCCTGAGTTCATTCATCAATATAAGGCTGCTCTTCCTACTCAATCTTCAGCCTCCTCAGAGGTCAAACTGACACACCTAAGTCAAGGTGTCCACAACAAATTGTACTCTTAGCATAAGCTCTCTGATGTAGAAGAAGGCACTGGACAAACAAATGTTTGCTATTTACATAATACTGTCAGAACCTATATATTAAGTCCAAAAGCTGATAAAGACTAAAACATTCTTTGCAAGTAGATGTTGTATACAGTGTGGTAATACAAGGTTAACTTTTCACTAACTGATAGTAACTTAAATGGATAATATCCAGGGACACTAATTAAGAATTTGTTTATAAAATAAATAAACCCAAACTCACGAGTGTGCTCCTGCCCAGTGAGGTCTTAAAATAAGTTTATAAAGGACCATCTGAAAATGCATTCTGGGTACATTCACAATTTCAATGCTATACTGTTAGTTTTGCAGTAGAAAAATCATATACTGGAAATAAAAACAATATTTTCTGAACTACTTGAGAAACATTATGAGAAATTAACAGTTTCACCAATGTTCTTTAGGTTTTAGAAACCTCTGGAGGGTATCAGGAAAATATCTTATTTGAATATTGGAATGTGAGCAAGTCAGTCTGGTCTGATCTATGCAATTTGGCCTTGAAATTCCTAAGTGGCTGTCAGTCTTCCTTTCTGAATTAATGTTTCACCCAGCAGGAAACACTAACTTATGCAATCCGAACTACTGCCAGCAAGAAAAAAAATGAATTTCCTATTTGCAAAAAGACACTTTATTGTTCAGGTGTTTCATTATTTTAAAGATATCTTTGTAACTATGCATGCAATTACATGTTAATTGTGTAACTGATATATTTTTTCTATCTGGTGTTAAATTAAAATATTGTTACACCATAGTTACATTTCCCTGTAATATCTTACATTATGTGAATGGAATGAGTGTGGAAATGATTCAAAGGTTTGTATTTGAAGTAATATGTAGTGGGATTTATTTAGATGTAAAATAAATTTATTATATTTTATCATATTCTTTCCCTTTCTCCAAGTCTTTCTAGATGTTCCCCTCATTTTAAAGTATTAAGTCATAATTTAGTTTTTAAAATATATCTAATATCTTTAGGGCCTGGCCTCAGGCAGACAGAAGCAGAAAGAATAAAGCTTGAGGCATGGCATTTATTTGTGGGACCTTTCTGGTGGGTCAACTGATTCGGTAGGAAAGATATAGAAATGCTCCCATGGTTCTTTGTATTTTTCTGTGCTATTGTTCCCCAATAAACACCCATTTATCATTAATCTTGGGTCTAGTGATATCATTACACCCTTGCCTTCAAATATCTGCAATACCCATTTAAGCTAATAATAAAATTGTATTTCTTGTGTGTGTGCCTGATTGTTGTATGTGACATATACATATGAATGCATGTATATGCATTTCCATGTGAACACATTGACAGAACCAAATATATAAGATATCTGCCTTTATAGCTCTCAGCCTTGCTGCCTTAAGATGAGGCCCTTCACTGAACAGGAAGTGCAGTGCTTTGCCTAGGTTGGGCAGAAAGTTGCTATGATCTGTCTATCTCGTTTTCTGCATTCTGGGGTTACAGTCAGGACTATCAATAACCAAATATTTTCTGTGGATCTTGGGAATTAAAACATGGCTCCTCGGCCAGGTGGTGGTGGCGCACGCCTTTAATCCTAGCACTCGGGAGGCAGAGGCAGGCAGATCTCTGTGAGTTCGAGGCTGGGCTGGACCGATAGTCTCCAAAACAATACAGAGAAACCCTGTCTCGTAAAAACCCAAAAAAAAAAAACATGGCTTCTCATTCTCATACAGCAAGAGCTTTTACACATTGAGCTTAGTTTGTAACCAGGGCTATGGAAATATGATGCAAATAAATTATTAGGTTCTTTAATATTATATTGATAAGAAAATATTTTATTTTATTGATGGAGAAATTAAGCAAACACTCTTATAATATAATTTATTAATGATTGTTTCTTAACTGGGACAATATATGAAAAGGAGTGAAATAAAAAAACATATATTCTGATGGGGGAAGTCCTTCTGTGTATATGTTGTCCTATTGGTTGATAAAAAACGCCCTGTTGGCCAAGAGGGAAGCAAGATACATAGGAGTAGGAGTTGAGGAGGATTGTGGGAAATGTAGTCAAGAGTAGAGAGTCGCCATGTGATCCCTGGAAGAGAGGACACGTGAGTCTGCATCCCCAGTAAGATAAGACCTTATAAAAAGATATATTAGTAATTATGGGTTAGTAATTAAGTCAGACCTTTCCATTAAGCAATCATAGCAAATGGACAAAAGCTTCATAATTAATAAAGTGTCTCGTGTGTTATTTGGGCCATGAGAAAGTGTCAGGAACCAGGAAGCTGGCATGAAAGAATACACGGTACAACATTCAATGAAGATTATAAAGAGTGTGATTTCATGTAGTCCTTTTAATTTCACAAAGGTTAATATGTGGATATTATTGGTAGTATTCAAACTTATATGAATAACTACTGGAATATATTTTAGCTATTTCTTAAATACCAAAGTACATTTCTAGAATTTTCTGTACATATTGCAGAGGAATTTAAAAGTATATTTTTGTTGATATGCATAAAACATTCTACTGAGATTTGTTTGCAAGGCAATGAACACTATGTCGTCTACTGGATGATGTGTATTTGGTCTTCCTCACTTAAAACAAATTAATTCTAAGGCCATGCAATTCAGTACTTTCTACGATATTTTGAAGGCAATAGGAAACACCTCTTAAGAGTTGGACCTTGAAATCAAGTTGCCCAGGTTCTTTCTTTTCTGTACCACCTGCTATCTGTGTTAATTGTTGCTAGGTAAGATGCTAATGTTACACAAACAATGGATTTCAAGGGATTTAGTAGGCTAATCCATGGAGATAACTCATCATAGACCATGTTAGTTTATAGATATTCAATAAATAATTGCTATTCTTGTTATTGTCTGCTTTAACACTTCATAAGTCCCCCAGTAATCCATTTTTAGAAAAAAAGATAATTGATTCTACAATGGTCCCAAACAATTCTGTCTCTTTAATGTGTTCAATAGAACACTAAATATTGCAAGGGCAAGGATATTTTCCTTTTCAGTTCTTTTATGGCCACTTTATTTTTTAATATATTTCCCAGTTGCATGCAGTACTCATATTAAGGGAGTACTACCAAGTCTCTTGTGAAGTCCTTTAGAAAGAAGAATAACAGTTATCATTTCTTTTCCCTTAGCTTTCATGATAGAATCTTGAGTTGTAGAACCAGGCCTGACAGTAGTCTCAAGAGGTACACTGCCCTTGCAAGTATATAGAGCTTACAGAAGCTTGCCAATACCTGGGAGGAAGCAATGACAGCAACTACTATAGCAATCTGACAGTATCTTCACCATCAAAGATCAAGTTGTATAATTTTAGCTGATTCAGACTTTCTCCTGA